GATTTAAATTTGTCCGACAGAAATTCTTCCGACATTGACGTGTCTATCGGTCGAAACATGCCAAAATAACAGGGTATTGAAAATCAATTACCACATAGGTAATTTTTAGTAAAATTAATTGTAAATAATTAATTCAGTCAAAAAGTATTGTTGTCCGACAAATTTCAAGCCGCGTTTTTTCAGTCCGACAGCTGGAAATCGGAATTTTCACGGGGTATGATAAATCGATTACCACATGTCGGACAAAAATAACACACGATAGAAAAGTGTTTTTTATAAGCAAAAATTTTAATGTCCGACAAAAATATATCCGCAAATCGTCAGTCCGACAAAAAGTGATGAAAAAAATTTCGTAAAAAATGTGCACATGTATTTATAATTTCTAATAAGGTATTTTCATGTATTAAGCAAAATTCCATATAAATATACAATACAGGATGTTTCAGAAAGACCTCCCGTAAATACAGGGGGTGAGGACGACCAAAAATAAGAATTTTTTGTCATATGAACTATATGTCTATTTTTAATTTTAAGGCTTTTAATTAAACTCTTATAATATTACGGTGTATAAAATAAGTGACTTTTCTCAAAGCTCAAACTTACTTTGAGAAAAGTCACTTATTTTATTGTTCAGTTGTAGACATTTTTAACGCACCCAGAATTTCACATGTGTAAGTTGTTAGTTCTGGGACATGCGCCGTCGAGGCGAAATATGGTAATACAGAGAGAATGAGGGTGTGTGCGAAACAGTGAGAAAGCGAGATTTGTAAATCTATGTAAAATCATAAAGGGAAAAGTTACAGTCCACAATAAAAGCAAAAAAACACGTATGCAGTATTCTTTAAACAACCCAACATAAGTTTGGTCCTTGGCGAGCTGCGGATATGGTCAAGACAACGTCTTGAATAGTGCAACAGGTTGGTGAATCAACAGCGTGAACCGCCATCTTGGATAGAAAATCTAATACAAGATACAGTGACTCTTGCATATAGCCACTGTAATACAAGCTAGAGACGTCGAGCGACGGAACACAGACAACAAAACAGTAAGCACATTCAGTCATTATCCTTTACATCACGTTGTACTCCTATTCTAACTTACCATTTGTGTCAATACTAAAGTATTAAAGCTAAAAAATGTCGGAGGAAATTAAAACATTAAAATTAAAACGAGAAACTTTAAAATCTCAATTAGATAGGTTTGATAAATATTTTAACTCAATACAAGATGTCAATGAACAAAGTGTAGCCCAAATGCAGTTAAGATTAGAAAAATTAGAGCCTAGTTTTGAGGAATTTAATGTTATTCAAACGCAGATCGAAATTTTGACTCAAGATAAGTCAGACGAAGTGCCATTGTCCGAGTATGTAGAACGAAACAGTTTCGAAGAAAATTTCTTTGAGGTAATAACAAATGCAAAATTGGTGGTTTCTAACTTTCGGGAAAAAAAGCGAATCAAATCACGTGAAGGTATTGAGAAGGAGAATAATGAACAGACGCAGGTAAAATTACCGATTATAAAGCTACCAACATTTGGAGGCGTTTGTAATCAGTGGCTAGAATTTAGGGACGCGTTTACGGCGCTAGTACATGACAATAAAACAATCTCTGATATACAAAAATATTATTATATGAAATCTGCCTTGGAAGGAGAGGCTAGTCACTTAATACAGTCGATAGCGGTGTCGGTTGCGAATTATAAAATAGCATGGGACTTGCTGTGCGAACGGTACGAGAATAAGACTGCTAGTTCACAACCACATTAGGGCTATATTTGACCAAATTCCGTTGTCGCGGGAGTCACACTCCAAACTACGAGAGCTGTTTGATAACGTCAACAAAAATTCAGTCGATGGGATTAAATACAGACACGTGGGATGCAATTTTTATATATATAATTGCAAGTAAATTTGATGCGACAACTCGTAGGGATTGGGAATCTTTCGAAATGGCAAACGAGCTTCCTACACTAGCTGATATGAACAAATTCTTAAAAACAAAATGCGACATTTTAGAACAACTGGAGGAAAACAAATTCGAATCAAGAGGGTCAGCTCTAAACGCAAAAAATAAAAATAAATCACAGGTCTACGCTGCTACAGCAGGTGGCCAGGCAAATAGTTTCACATGTGTGTGTTATAAGGAAAATCATGTAATCTACAGATGTCCGGTATTTTTAGGGTTGTCGGTAAGCGACAGAATAAACAAAACGAAACAAATCGGTGCGTGCCTTAACTGTTTACGAAAAAATCATTTAGTAAAGGATTGCAAATCTCTTTCTTGTTTTAAATGCAACGGTAGACATCACTCATTATTACATTTGAATTCGCCAAACAATAACAACGTAGAAACGCAACGTTCGGAGACACAAGCGGTGGATACGAGGGGTGCTCAAAAGGACGAAAAAGGCGAGATAAACAAAACAAGCGTATGCCACTCGTTGGAGGGTAGAAAAATGTCACAAGTAATACTGTCAACTGCAACGTTGTTAATATATGACAAATGCGGAAATACACGGTCTTGTAGAGCATTGCTAGATAGTGCGTCACAAAGCACAATGATAACGGAGGATTTATGCAAACAACTCGGGTTAGAAAGAGGAAAGGCACATACGATAATTTCGGGCATAAGTCAAACCAAGACGGAAGTAAATTACAAAACTACATTGAAACTAAGTTCTATTGATAAGGCATTTCAAACTACGGTTTCGGCTTTAATAGGGCCAAAAATCACAGAATCATTACCTTCGGTTTCATTTGACTACTCATGTTTAAATATTCCAGATCACATACAATTGGCAGATCCAAGCTTTAATAAACGGGGGTCCATAGATATATTGCTTGGCGCGAATATTTACTGGGACTTACTTCGCGAGGGTGTTATACAGCTAGGGAAAAACAAGCCTAACTTACAGCACACGCAGTTAGGCTGGGTAATTGGTGGTAATCTTAATTGCAAGGAGACAGAATATAATATGCAGATATCCTGCTTCAATTTAGAGACATTTAGAGACATTAAACAAAAATGTAGAAAAATTCTGGGAGGTAGAAAGTTGTTCAAATTCAAAACCGATATATTCTGAGAGTGAAAATTATTGTGAAAACCATTTTAATAAAACATATGAGCGCAATGATCAGGGTAGGTTTGTCGTTAGTGTGCCGTATAAGGATAACGTCGAGAACTTGGGTGAATCCAGAGATATCGCGTTAAAACGACTCTATTCAATTGAAAATAAATTAAAAAGGCAATACAACGCATTTATGCGCGAATACTTAGAACTAAACCATATGACAAAGGTCCAGGAATCGGAAGCGCACGTTGGGTATTACTTACCGCATCACCCTGTAGTTAAGGAAACGAGTCTAACTACAAAGTTGAGAGTAGTTTTTGATGCCAGCGCAAAAACGAGTTCGATTAAGTCTAAACGAAACACAATATGTCGGACCTACGGTACAAAACGAACTCTTCTCTATATTAATTTCATTTCGATGGCATACCTTTGTATTAGCGGCGGATATTACTATGATGTATCGGCAAATATTAATACGGCCGGAACAACGATGCGTACAGCGCATATTATGGTGATTCGATCCAAATGACAATGTCGATTGTTTTGAATTGAATACTATAACTTACGGGACGGCGTCGGCGCCGTATCTAGCGACCAGGTGTTTAGAGCAATTGGCAAGGGATAACGAAACGACAAAACCGGATGTAAGCAGAGTTATTAGAAAACATATGTATATGGACGACGTGTTAACGGGAAATAAGGACATTAATGGTCTTTTAAATTTACAACGCGATCTCTCAAGTACATTCTTATCCGCGGGATTCGAACTTAGAAAATGGCATACAAATGTACCTGATTTAGTTAACCAGTTCAAATTGTCGAATGCAAATTTGAGCTCAAATATTATAAACTTAAGCGCTAATCAGACAAGCAAGACGTTAGGCATCTATTGGAACTCAAATGCAGATGTATTACAGTTTTCGGTTGGCCAGGGTTGGCCAGGGTAAGAGTGACTCCACAATAACGTTATGCTGGATTAAGGGTCCAACTAACAAATGGAAGACGTTCGTCGCAAATAGAGTTAGTGAAATCCAATCGATCACGGAAACGCGCAATTGGAGACATGTGAGATCAGGCGACAATCCAGCGGACTTAATAAGTCGAGGTATGACGGTTAGCGAGTCAATTCAAAACTTTGGTTTGAGGGGCCTTCGTGGTTAAAACAAGATCAATCGTTATGGCCAGAATCAAGTGTTAATAATCAATCAATAGCAGATATACCGGAAACTCGTAAGGCTACTGTCACACTGTTGGTACAACAGGGGTTAGATAACTTATTTAAGAAATATTCTACGTTTCGGAAACTACAGTGGGTTACAGCTTATCTGTTACGGTTTGGTCATAATTGTAAACAAGCGGTGGGTAATCGAACGATAGGACCTCTAACTTCGGAAGAATTACAACATTCATTTAATAGATTAATAACCCAAGCTCAACGCGAACATTTTCAGTCTGATTATGAATACCTTTAAATGAATAAAAAATTACAGAAGCGGAGTAAATTGCTGCCATTGAATGCATTCCTAGATTCTGACGGGTTATTGAGAGTGGGGGGTAGACTACAACAAGCGCAAATGGGCCGTGAGGGTATACATCAGATCATATTACCTCCATAACATAACTAAACTGTTCTTAGATCACGAGCATAAAAGGTTAGGTCATTGTGGAGCTCAACAATTGTTAGCAAGTGTCAGGGAGGACTACTGGCCTACTCAAGGTCGCAATTTATGCAGGGGAATCATTCGGCGTTGCGTATCCTGTTTTAAGGCCAAACCAAAGACACTCGACCAGCTCATGGGTAATCTTCCCAAGGTGCGTGTCACGCCAGCTCCTCCATTCTATAACACAGGCATCGATTACGCGGGACCTCTACTAATACGGGACAAAAAACAACGCGGTTCTAAGCTAATCAAGGCCTACGTGTGTCTGTTCATTTGTCTATCTGTTAAGGCAGTGCATATCGAAGTCGTAACAAATTTAAATGCGGAATCATTTATAGCGGCTTTGAAACGGTTTACTTCAAGACGAGGTAATCCGAAAAATATATATTCGGACAATGGGCTTAATTTCGTAGGCGCAAATAAGGAAATACAGGAATTATATGAGTTTTTAAAAAATGAAAATAACTCAATAACAGATCACTTATCTAGTGATTATTCTTGGCATTTTATTCCACCACATGCTCCTAATTTTGGCGGCATTTGGGAGGCTAATATCAAATGTGTAAAGAATCACTTACGACGAATTGTAGGAAATGCTCACCTCACGTACGAATAGTTAAGCACAGTATTGACCCAAATAGAACATATCCTTAACTCCCGTCCACTCACCTCAATGACTGAAGACCCTGAGGATTTGGATGTGCTTACGCCGGCGCATTTCTTAATTGGACGAAGACTAACGTCTGTTCCAGACCCAAGCCTTCATGCAATACCGGACAATAAGTTATCCAGATTCCAGTATATTCAAAAATTGCCACAATAGTATTGGTTGAGATGGTCTAAGGAATATTTGGTCGAACTACGGCGGCGCAACATGTGGCAGCGGTCACAACCCAATATCCACCTTGGTGCGCTAGTGTTGCTGCGAGAGGACAACTTACCACCCCTCCAATGGGCGATGGAAAACACACAAAAACACCTCACCACACGCACACACAGACACGACACCCTCCCAACCGGGCGCGGCGGCCCTGATTGACGCAACAAAGCGTCTTCAGGACTTCTGCGTCCAGCTGACGACCATGGTGTCGAATATGCAAAAATTATTCGACTTCTAATGGCTCGTCGGCCCTCCCAACCCTCCTCGCTGAGAATTTCGTCCTGGAACCTTGACGGGTTCCGGGCCAAAAAAACGGAACTCGTGGACATCTTGAACCGTCTAAACATAGACGTTATGGCTGTCCAGGAGACCTACCTCAGCGAGGCATCCCGTACCTCCATCCCTGACTATGACATATACAGACATGACAGAAACCGTAACGGGGGTGGTGTTGCACTCATAGTAAAGAAGTGCATCGACCACTATCCGCTGCAGCGGCTCCAAACTCAAAACACAGAGGCCGTGGCGATAGCGGTGAGATCGCTACGGCATGGAGACGTTGCGGTGGTGTCCTGTTACCACCCACCCAGACTACCACTACTTGACAATGACTTAGACAAAATCCTTTCCTGGCCCCAGACAATTGCCATCGGGGACTTCAACGCGAAGTCCCCCATATGGCACAGCGGGACGACGACCACAAGAGGTCGCGTCCTGCTGAATTACCAAGACAGACACGACGACTTGACTATACTCGGACCGACAGAACCGACACATTACGGACCCGTAGGACGCCCCGACGTTATCGACATTGCCCTCTTAAAATCTATACCGTTAAATGCCCAAATATCCACCCAATACGAAGGGTCTTCCGCCCACAATCCAATATTTCTGGATCTGGGGCGAAGACAGAGATATGAAGGCACCTTCACGAGGAGGTTCACTGACTGGGAGCGTTTCCGAACAGTAATGCAAGGAAACATGGCGCTCCCAGTCATCGAAACCACCCATGATCTGGAGGCGGCAATCCTCTCCCTTGAGACTGACATTAAAAACGCCCTGACTCAGACTACGACGGAGACTATTGTCCCCCGACTGACAAACCCCCGGGGCACCCTCCCCGATGACATAAAAAACTTAATACGTGACAGACGA